GGAGGCAGGGAGCTGATGGCAGTGACTATTCATAGTCTAGATGATTTATTACAGTTTCATACTTACAAAACCTTCCCATTATCTTAGCATTCCTTTCAAAATCAGTTGTTTTTAATTAAGTAATATTAAATATTTTTATTAATATAAACAAGCCTTATATTCCCCAAACTTAGTACTGCAGTTTCTAAGATACATCTTTCTTCCATCATGGGAGATGGTGAAATTTTTCGTTTTCAAAGTATTGTATTTAATAATCACTTCCACTTACTTCAAAAAATTCATTTTTGAGATCTGAATGCTGAAGCCACAAAACAACCGCAGGATTATTACAGGAAAAACTGTCTTAAGTGCTTCTCAGTTTTGTTATCTCTCCTGCAAGACGTTAATAAATTACTCTTAATTTGCAAGGAAGGGAAAAATGTCTCAAAGGCTGCTGAAGGCAAAGAGGGTGGAGTGGTTCAAACAAACTCTCTGCACAACGTTAGAATATTTCAAACCCTTCTGTAAAACAAATAGAAACTGGATCATATTTAAGTAGGCAGAAACAAGGTCTTCTGATATAATTCTGAGAGGGCACAGCTAAGCATGGACAACAGCATGTTAAAAACAGTGAAGCCCTTTGTCCTCAGCAAAATGGCTTCATGATACCTATATAAACGTTTCACCTTGAGATGCCTATCTATGGACAACTATCCAAAACGGCCTGTACAAGGAAGTGCAGCACAAGTGACAATTTCCTTCCTAGCATTCAAACTCCTTTTTCATTCAGCCTTTTCCAGAAACAGCAAAAGGAACAATAGAGAAGACAGATGAAGGAGCAATGTGGCCATAGAAAGAAATGAAGGAGGCAAACAGAAGGCCAGGTTTTGCTTATGAACTGTTTCACATACTGCCCTGGCATAAGCAAGCACTGGAGTACAATGTAGTCTACATCTCAGTGATTTCAGTGAGATATAAAGCCTTGCTTAAAATTTAACACATGCCTAAATGTGGTCCTGAACAGAAATAATTAATTTTGTCCTGAACCAGAACTATGACATGTCTTTGGCGTGGTATGAAAGCTATAATGGCACTACCTAGAAACATATGCACATGCCTTTGCCAAGATTTCTGTGCTCCACTGTTTCTTTTTTCTCATCCTTTGATAAACCCAGTTATAAAGTCCTCGCTTTGGCTTTACAACACATGAAATGATGTCTTCTCCTAGTTTAATGGAAGACGAAAGCATATGCATCGCTCCTGTATCTGGTAATGTTGCACCGAGAAGTCAAAAGGAAGTTGCTCTCCTGGTGGGACAGTCTCTTGTCAGACCTCGTGGGGACAGGGAGCACAACACACGCTGGCTCCACGCGGTTGGTTCAAGAAGGTCTCTTTAAAGACAGAAGCACTTGACTGCTCTATTTCTTTTTGTTCACATTATTCCAAGGTATGCTCTTAGGTTTAGGTCTGGCAGAATCCTTCTGCTCTTTTCTCGCCCTTGCTGCCTCGGCATTTTGGAGCTCTGAGTTTCATGCTGAGCCCTCACCTCCTACCTCTTTCTCAGAAAGCCATTAACATGGGAACTCCTTGTCAGTAAGACATGTTGGAAAGGGCTTGCACATCCGCCCACCAATGCAACTTATTAAATGGTTTGGGGTTGACCCATGTAATCCATGAGCACATGCCTCCCTGGGTAAGCACTGCAGTCACTCTTGGTTTGGCTCAGACAAGAATTAGGGTTGTGGGTTTTCTACTTCACTAGTAGCTGGAATTGATGCATTTGGAAAGAGCATAAACAGTTATACGTGTGCTAACGATCAGCAACCCAACTGGCTAAAAAGGATTATGATTTTAGAGAAACCAAGATATCTGTGGCTTATACCAAGGCCTGTATTTTTTGTATTAACAGATATATAAACACATATACATCTTCACTATATCCTTTAATCCCCTCTCCACTTTCCCTCTCCTCAGTGGTCCAAGACTTTTGTTTGGGTAAAGAATTTCACAGGAAGAGTCCAGAGACTTTTTTCTCATTTGCTTCTCTCCCGAGAGTCCTGTTTATTTTTACTCTTTGTCTTTCTTGTGTATTGTTTCTAGAGACTTCAGGTTCTTAAATCAACATGACTGGCCCACCATAAGGGAATTACTCACACCCGCCCCCCCCCCCACCCCCCCCCCCCAAC